GAGAATTGTATTAATGTTTTTAATGAAAACAGTAGAGACATCTGCGGTTTAAAAATCAAACGATTCTACTATTTGATCCCATTTTCTGTTATGATAAAATGTAGACTGATTGTTTGGCCGGATTTGAAAAAAGTTATGATGTGCGGTGCTGCCCATTTGGCTGGAAGAAATTTTCCCAGCGCCCACCGGCCGATTGCCGAGAATGTTGCCGACTTCTGGCATGTTGTTTTCACGCCACTGCACAGTTTTGTTGTGATTACGTTTTCTGTGTTTTCGATTAAACTTGAAGTGATATTTCATCGAGTTACACGACCTTTCCAATATCGAGTCGCTTAAATTTTGACCGTAATACCAAGATTGTCAGTGCTCTCGTCTCTCCTGTTTTTATTGCCGGCTTCCTGCCTTCACAAATCGATCAACAATGGAGGACTTTGCCATTTCAAGCAGCAGCAGCAACAGTGGTAATCTAAAGGAATGGGTGTATGAGAGTGGAAGTCAATTCCCTCTTAGTGAGAAGGCTCCTCAAAAAGGATCAGTGTTAAAGAAAACACTAGAAGAAAACTTGATGATTGAAGTACAAGAAAAAAGGAGAAAAGGATCTGTGCACATTTTCACTGTGCTTTGCCATTCGTGCCAAAAAAAGTACAAAAGTCAAACTGCTCAAAAGTTAAAAGAACATGTTTCTTCAGTTTTTCATCAAAAGAGTTTATTACCAGAAACAGTTAAAAAGAACAAAGAAAAGGCACGTCGGCAGTTGATTCTCTCTAACAAAAAGTTCGCCGACTTCATTGTGCTGCACGAAGACCAGACGCTGTGGTGCAAGTACTGCAACGTGGAGCTGCAATTTCTCAGCAACAAGCTCTCCGATCATCGGCACTCGCTGAAGCACAAGACTGCCGCAGGCCAAAAGCCCATTGACTTGACCGAGGCGGAGCGCCTTGCTAAGATCCAAAAGCTGGTGAGCCAGTTCCCCGACGTCGTTGGCATGGTCACTGACATGGACGTTCACGTCAATGAGGAGTACTTTGAGCACTATAAAGAAAAAGAGGAAATCACCCTCCAGTTGAATGATATATTCTGCAAGATTTGTCGAAGAAAGTTCGTTCGAACTGATCCGAATGGCTATCGCGATGCGATTCGAAGGCACTTGAAAACCGAACAACACAAGAAAGCTTTGGAAAGCACTCAACAGCAGGCTGACGATGAAGATGGGTCAAAAGTGAAGCCGGCAAAGTCGCCTCCAAAAAAGATCAGCACCTATCGCCACGATCCCGAAGACCTGAAAGAGGCAGTTCGGCACTCTTGCGAAGCTAATCTGTCCTCTTCTCAGTGCAGCAAAGCTGGCCGAAAAATAATTCAGTCAGTAATAGGAAGAACCATGTCAGCATGGGCTATGAGCAAGGGTTTTGCTCTAGTTGATTCAGGTAAAACTTTGTTAGTTTTAGTGCAAAAGTGAATTGTAGTGATCAATACTTTTTCTACAGACATCACTGAAAGCATGAACATTTTAAAGACAAAACAGCTAGGGATCACCGTTGATGAAGCTAGCATTCAAGGCAACCTTCTTAACGTTTCCATTCGAGCCCTGGATGACCTGAACATTCCGCCTTTCAAGAGAATATTTCTCCTTGACGGTGCTGCAAATGGCCAGTCTGTCGCTAAAGCCATCGTTGATGTGCTGCGCACCATTTGGCCGAGTGATCAGGAGCTTCATGAGCATCAGCACCAATTCCGCACATTGATGACCGACGGTGCAGCGTACATGGGAAGTGCTGCAAAAGTTCTTCGCAGTTTTGGTTTTACTAGCCTGATTCATAGCCAGTGCATCGTGCATGGTTTGAGTCTTGTTTGTGAAACAGCTCTGAAGAATCATGAGCTCCTTCTCAAGTTCGCTCACTCTGTCCAAAGCACAATGAGCTGTTCAGTAGCTCACAAAGCCGCTTACCACGAGTCGTCAAATCAGCTTTTAGGGGAAAGTTTCGTAAAACTTCTTTACGACCAAAATGGCCTTTCGTTGACTGATGGCAAGAAAAAGAAGAAAAAAACAAGTGTCGAAGCCATGGTCAGCGAGATTGACAACAAACTATGGCCTACAATGACTGACGGTAAGTGTTTCATGTTTTTTCAATTAAGGATATAATCTGATTAAATTGATTAAATATTTTTAGACAAAAAATGTTCCCAACTCTGGAGCAAAGTTCGTTCACATGCAAGCTTGATTAGCACAGAAGGTGGCGAAATAGCAGAAATGCTGCCTGAAGATCGAACACCACCACCAAAAGGGTGTGACACTCGCTTTGCTACAGAGCTAGTTCTTTTGAGCTACTGTCACCACTTCTTCATTCAAGCGATCAATTATTGCTCCAAACTGGAACAGAAGACTTCGCGGAAAGAAGACAAGAGCGTGATTTCGAAGCTTCATAAGCAAATTGCAGAGCAAAGTGATGACATAAAAGAAGGACTGGAGTACGTGTTCTCCGTCTTCAGTGAAATCCCTGTTCACTTGTGCGCTCTAGAAGGCCAAACATTAAGAGTCAGCGAAGTTGAAGAAAAGCTGGCCATTATCAGGCAGTACCTTGAAAAGGGCATTCATCACCCTTTAGAGGCGAAGTACGGCTCTGTCAGAGCAGCTTTGACAAAGTTGAGTGCCGTTGAAAAAAGAGTTGAAAATCTTTTTCAAGCAGCTCGACTTGATCCCATTTTGGATTATGCCCCTTGTCACTCTATTGAGGTTGAAGCTGATTTTAGTTTCATTCGGCACCGAATTGGGCATCGAAAGCACTTTTCAAAGCCAAACCTCTCTAGCTACCTGCAAGTGGCAATTTCGCAACAAGCTGCAAAAAGATGCTCTGAAACGGTAAGTTTGCATGAATAGTTTACAAATAAAAAACAAATGAAAATTAAATTTTTATAAAATTTCTTTTTTGATCATGATTGAAAATAATGGCTGATAAAATGAACACATGACATCATCTTCTTTTAAACAAAATTGAAATATTTGGAGGGAAAGTTTTAAAGTAATGACTTTTCAAATTGAACTAATTTTGCGTTTTAAATTTTCAGTCCAATGACGAACTGCCTAAACCTTCAAAACAAAGAAGGTTTTATACTCAAGCTGATGAAGAGAAAAGACTTGCAATAAGGCAAAAAAAGTTTGATCAAAAAAGAACCGATCCTCTTCTTGATCATACTTATGCCAGGTATGGAAGTTAAAACCCACAAATTAAGTTTTAATTTGTAATTGTTTTCAATTGCAGACCACCAGACGAAGAACCTTTGTTTGTTGTGCCATTTAAAGTTGCACTAACACCGCAAATTTCTCCAATGGCACCAACAACTTTATCTTTAACAATGCCACCACAAATGGCTATGATTCTTCCTCCACCTACTCAAGCAACAACAACAACAACATTCCATTAGGTGCACCAGCAAAGATGCAAAAGAAGCCGTCGGTGGCTCGGAACTTCAAAGGACGACACTCCTCCTCCTCGTCGACGACAATGTCTTTTGTGAACGCCGAGTTTCTCGATGACATCAAGGCGACCTTTGGGCGTTTTGACGTGAAAAAGGCCGGCAAGCTGGAGACGAAGCAGCTGAAGTTTGCCATGCGATAACTTGGCTTTGAGCCGAAAAAGGAGAAGATCAAGCGCATCAGCGAGGAGTACGACAAGGACGGCTACATCACATTGGCGGATTTTATCAGCCTGATGACCAAGCGAATGACGGAGAAGACGGTTAATGAGGAGATCATGAAGGCCTTTCAGCTCTTTGACGACAGCCACCGCGGAAAGATCACTTTTGATGACCTCAAACGAGTGTCCACTGAGCTTGGCGAGAACATATCTGACGACGAGCTGCTGAAGATGTTCAAAGAGGCGGAAGTCGATGGCGACCATGCAGTCAACTGACAGGAGTTTCTGCGGATCATAAAGAAGACTAGTCTCTACTAACCAAAAACACACACACATACTCATTCCGTGTTTGTTATTGCTTATCAATTTTTTACATTTTTGTTTTGCATCTCCTTGACTTTCTGATTATTAATTTTTCTTCTAAATCTGTTGGCAACGACAACGATGACCACCATTGTCAGAGTTTTTGGAGAGTTTTAATTGCGCTAGTCGGCTTGTGTTTTCTGAACACGTCAAGTACTCTCACTTTTACAAAAATGCAGTTGCGGCTAAATCCCAACAGATGGCGCATTATCCAAACTGCCCACAAAAAATATCATAACTTTTTTCAAATCCGGCCAAACAATCAGTCTACCGCTCAGACACGATTTGTCGGACGAGTTGTCCTCCACTTCTCTGCTGAAGTTGACACCACTGTTTTTCTGGTAAGTCAGACTGATTTCTTCGGCTTTTTGGACCAAAACCTTTCATCTGCCATTTTTCTTTGTTCCAGTTGCTCCAGACACACACCCCTACATCACCAAGATGCGTCTGACTCCACGCGCCCTCGTCCGTTTCGTGAACCCGAAGCAGGGTCAGCGTATGGCCTTCCCGTACACCTACTCGGCCAAGTGGTCTCAGTGGAATGTCGTGTACGAGTTTCGCAACAACCACTACTTCCGATACACCATCTACGGTGCCACCATCTTCTTCCCCGTCATCTGGTACATTGACTCCCTGGTGAACTCGCCGGCCGCCAAGGCTGCCTACAAGAAGGCCAAGCAGGCAGAGAAGGAGAAGGAACACGCCGAGCACATGTGGGCCGACATCTCCGGCCGATACGCCAACAAATGAGCAGCAACTCAGCAGCAATTAGATCACTTTTCTCAACTGTAATTATTTTCCTTCAATTAGAATGATCCTCCCGGCGATTGAAACTCCTGTTGTTGTTAGAAGGATAATGAAAAAATAAATGTGTATTTACACAATGAAGCCCGAAAATTATGTACAAAAAAAGTAATTGAATACATTGCAAAAGAAATGAAGATCTGGGGAGATTCATTCCCAAGTGTTGCACGGAAGAGAAAAGTTCATCAAAGTTGGTAGTAGTTAGTAGTTCAGCGGTCGCCGTCGCTTCCACAGACTGATTGCAGAGGAGTGGCTGCTGTCGACGTGGTTGGCCGCCACTGACCAGAACGGGTTAGACGGGTTGGTGGGAATCTTGAACTCCTTTGAGCGGGTGTGAGAGTAGATTCGATTGCGATGTCGAGCCGAGGAGCTGTTGTGGCCGGCACTGGAGCTGTCGTGGAAGTCGCTCTGCTCATCGTCGCCGTCAAAGTTGAACTCCGTCGGGGAGTCGTCGGAGATGTTGCCGTCGCTGACATCAGAGACATGGCCGCCACCGCCGCCGTCATCAGCTCTGCGACCGCCCTCCTGATGCTGATGATGCTGGACATCACACTGCTCGACGTCCATGGACTCGTTCGAGGACAGCTGCTGCATTCCACTCGGACCGGGGGCAAAGAGGTTCTCTGGGCTGAGTGCAAAGGGTGATATGCTCGAGGAGGTGGAGGCGTGAACTGCAGCTGAAGCTGCAAAGGCGTGAAGAGCCTCTGCATTGGAGTTTCGTTTTCGCTTGCCCTTGGAGAGCACCTTTGAGTAGGCAGAATGCGGTATGCCACCGCCGCCAGCACGCCAGCCCATGGCACCAGGCAGCAGTAGTCCTTTGGTCTGCTTGGCGACGCGAATGTGCTTGGAGCATCGCTTCTTGTCAACACTGCCCATCTCATCGTCGGCCTCTGAGTCTGTGTCACTGTCCAGCATGAGCAGCTTGGAGCGGTTGATGATGGAGGCGGTTCGGTTCACCGGTTTGCTGCTCTTCGACTTGACTGAATCCTGCGAAAGAAGAGAGAGGAACATATAGGCGTTTAGACTGCAAACAAAACCTGATCACTCCAGAGTACTACTGACTTACCCTATTGTTGTTGGCGCCATCGCCATCGAGCGTCGTGCCACTCAGCTCGTCCACCAGATCTTCCATGTCGTTTGATGACACCGACGATGTCGGTCTGAATCGATCAGATCTGATCGTTCAAATATTGCCCAATTTACACGTCAAGACATTCATTCATTGACAGCAGCTTCAATCGCTGGCTGCTGCTGCTGTTGCACTTGCAGAGAAGTGCGACTTTAGTTGTTGTTGGCTGTGTGTGTGGGCTGGTGTAGTGTTGTGCACTGTGCATTTGCAGCCGCAGGTGCTGTGATTCGCCACCAACACAGACCAGACCAGTGTGTGAATGAGTGATTGATGATGAGGCACACAAACACTGGTCTGTGCAGTGCAGTGCACCACCACCACCACTAACGCGCATGCCACAGCTGTCCTGAGCTACTGCCCGCAGAATATTCTGTTGGGGGAACACTTAATGGCAACTCAATCAAAAACAGATACAATTCATTTCATTTTAATTGATAATAAAAAACCGTTCTCATCTACACACAGCACATTTTTTTGTTGTACATCAGCAGGCATTTGTACTCAGGGTTCTGATTGACTGTCAAGGTAGGTAGGTGTTTGTGTGTGATAAAAGAGGTTGAGTTCCAGGAAGAGAGCAGGTGGAGCAGCAATCATCACCAGTTCCACCAACAACTGCTTGGAAAGGCACAGGGAAGTGTTTGTGTGTGTGTGTGTTGTGTCTGTGTGTTGCTTATGCTTCATCTGCATTACGTAGTGATCACATGGGTTGCGAATTACACATAGCGAATTCAGTGTAGAGATAATTAAGAAGAATAAAAAAGGGTATCTAAAAATAGAGAGCGAGAGAAGCGACTCTAGAAAAGAGAGGGAGAGTATGTACACATTGTACAAGCCAAAGTGCAATCGTCCCAATCAGCAATCAACCAACACAGAGTGTGGCAACCGGCAGCAAAACAGTTTTGTACAGAAACCGAAGAAGACCACAGAGAGGTTGGGACACTGATGATAATGAAGGACGTGCTAGGATCAGTCCTTTGGCAGTCGTTGTCACAGAGTGTGGTAGGTGTGTGTGTATATACAAATTGGTCGAGTGTTTGTCTGAAAAAAGGAGCGGGCCAGAGAGGGAGACAAAACAAATAAATAAATAAATAAAATGACAAGAAACAAAATAAAGGTTTAAAAAGATAAGAAATAACAACAGTGCAAGATGAGCTGAGGGTGTGGTCGGAGAGATGAATGAAGAAGTGAATGATTGATTGAGAAACGGAGAGACCAGCGTCGGAACAAAAAAAGAAGAAGCTACTAAACTAACATTAGACCAGAATAATCATTATTGAGCTCGCGCAATCATCATCACCAGATCAACAAATGTAGCACAGCTTCTGCGAGGATGCAAACAACAACATAGTCGGTGTGATGAAGAGATGAAGATTAGAAGGTGAAGAAGGTAGAAGAGTAAAAGTAATAGTAGAAAGAGAGAGGAGAAGAAGATCAACAGAAAGGCATTGCACTGCTTCTTTGTTTGCACATCCATTGCACCGAGATCAGATGTCATTCTCCGCCTCCTTTGCCTCCTCTTCACCGCCTCCCCCTCCACCTCCTTCTCCATTCTCATGGTGCTCCTGCCACTTGAAGTTGCTGATCATGCTCCACTTTTGCGTCCGCTTGGAGGCGTTGCACTTGCGCAGCTTCGGCTGCGTCGGGTCGCCCTTCGGCTCGGGGCCCTCCAGACACCAGCCCGAGTTCTTGTGCTTGATCTGCTTCGTCTCCTCGTCGTACAGCCAGGCCTGGTTTCCGCCCATGCCGTGACAGCGCACCAGCTTGATGGGCGCACTGGGGCCCGAGGCGTCCATGCAGTTGTCGTCAGACATGATCTGTTTGCGTTTAGTGTAGGCAAAGACCTGGTTGCCGCCCAGGCCGTGGCACCGCGACATGGCGATATTTTCGCCGCTCTTTCGCCCAAAGGTGTCCAGGCAGTCCTTCGAGTCGACGTTGCGCACCTCGCCCNGCCGCCCATGCCGTGACAGCGCACCAGCTTGATGGGCGCACTGGGGCCCGAAGCGTCCATGCAGTTGTCGTCAGACATGATCTGCTTGCGTTTAGTGTAGGCAAAGACCTGATTGCCGCCCAGGCCGTGGCACCGCGACATGGCGATATTTTCGCCGCTTTTTCGCCCAAAGGTGTCCAGGCAGTCCTTCGAGTCGACGTTGCGCACCTCGCCCAGTGAGTAGTAGTGCAGGGGCATTTGACTCTCCGGATAGATGTTCTCCAGGTACCACTTGAAATCTGGGAAAAGTTGGAAGAAATGAAGCGAAAAGTTAGCAAGACAGGAGGAAATGGGCCACTTCATCACCACAAATCATTCCCACAAATTATCTACCTCTGCACTTCAGATCTTTCCTTAGCTGCTTCCGCCCTGAAGTGTCCCCCATCTTGATGCTTCTGGCCGCAGGGTTGATGGCGATGTAGAACTCCTTGTACGAGTCCATCCACACGTCCGCCAGACGGGCATTGTTGTGATTAACTGGGAAAGTTGGAGAGAAAAAGTTTTGTAAGTAAAAAGCGGTTATAAATAAAAGAAAGTTATAAATAGAAAATGGCTGCTGCTGCTCACCAATATTGGAAGTGCCCCCGGGAAAGGTGTACGGCGTAGACTTGCGAAAGACGTGGCCAACGTGCGAGCAGGTGACAATCTCCAGCGTGCCGCCGCACATCCAAATGCGAAAGCTCATCTCCAGGTTCTCCCCTCCCCAGATGTCCATGCCCTCGTCGTACTTTCCCAGCTTGTTGAAGTACTCTCGGTCCATGGAAAAGAGGCCGCCCGCCATTGTCGGCGTCCGCACCGGCAGCGTCCGATCACTGTTGCGTCGATCAAGCTCGCGCTGGGGCACACGGTACCTGCAGGCGGCAATTGAAAAATTGCAAATAATGGTAAAAAATACCAACCAAACCACTACCAAAACCACCACTCACCATCTAAAATTGAGCTTCCAGTTGAAACCGCCCCAGGTCATATCACTTGCGGCAATGTACTCAAAATTGTCATCTGGGAAAAACACACAAAAAAACAATTAACTAAACGGACGCTAAATAGAATTACCTCGGCACACTTACCACTAATTACGTCGATGATTGGACAAACGACTCGGGTTCTGAGAGGTGGGGGCAAACAAATTAATTTAAAATTCTCAACAAAAAGTGGTTTTGCAAAAAATGAAACGCACCTGTCCTCGACGATTCTCGCCATGAGCGGCTCCAGCCATCCTTTGGTGCACTCACAGTGCGCATCCAAAAAGGTCAGCGTCTCACCGGTGGCCTTCTCTGCGCCGATCAACCGGGCGCGAATCAGGCCTGAACGCTTTCCCGTTCGGTACACCTTCACGGTGACAGGCAATGTGGCGACATAGTCCTCCAACTTTTGTCCTAAATAGTCTGCTCGGGTAGAGGAGGTGGTTTTGAGATTTAGGACAAGACTAAATCGAAATATAAATAAACTTACCTCTTTCGCTAGCATCATCTACCAGAATAATCTCTGCCAGTAGTGACTTGGGTGATGTGCGAATTATACTATGTACTGGGGACGCGAAGCAAAAAAAAGTTAGTTGCAGCTAAAGGTTTCCCCAGTTTCCAAGTTGCGAAGACTTACCTGTGCGCAAGAGCGTACTCCAGGCTTCATTATGAAAAACTACTATAATAGAAGTGTTTGGCAAATATTTAGGATACCTCTTTCGACGACATCTGAGCAAATAGAACAAACAAGCAAAAAAGAAGTAAGGCGATTAGTTTTCGACAGAAGAAGGGGGGGGCATTATATGTCAAGCTGATGTAAGCGAACTTCAACGACTGGACACACAACAATTGAGCAAACAAGAAACTCTTACCCGTCAAGGCGGACATCATTAATAGATCGATTCAGCGCAATCATATCACTAGCGATAAGATTAAATTGATTGAGCTTGAACTTCTCCTCCTTCAGCTTCTCCTGGTCTTTGGGAAGATCGACGCCTTTGCCATTTTCCCCTGGCCAGGATGATGGATTCGATCGCATGACTGTGAGTTGGGGAAGAAAGAAGACATTAATCGATTTGTTTGCCACTTGTCAGTAGTAGTGTTCGCCACCGGCCACACATTCGGTAAGTGGTGCCGATACTTACTGGGGGCGACCCAAGTGTGCAGATGTGCCTCAGTGTACGGCGGCAGGCGAAGATGAGGCCAGTCCTCCTCCTCCTCTGCGCCGGCTGACTTGAGTGCCGCGGCGCCATTGTGTCCGCCGCCATTTTGAAGTGCAGCTGCCTGCTGCTGGTCTGGCGGCACTGCGGGCAGTATGCTCTTGCTGCGACAGTTGACGCCGTTGCCGTTCAGGCACTCCATGTAGTAGACGAGGATGCACATGCCAAAGATGACCCACACCAGTGAGGTGAGAATCATCACTCGAAAGGTATGCCATCGCAGGGGCGATCGCAGCAACATCTGCTCGGAAGAGAGAAGAAGCGGAAAGGTGCTCGTTAGAAAGTGCTGGCTAAACATTATGTGTTTGAGTGTGAGGTAGCTGAGTTTGCAGTGTTGGGGGAAAGCTGATAGACAAGTGGACACGTTTTAAAAGGCGATAAAAGCTGATGCTGATGCTTCGAGCTTTGACTGCTGTCAGAGGCTAATCAGAAGAAGAAGTAGGCAAAAGCACCGGCTAATGAATTTGAGGGCAATGACGGCACACTACACAAACACTGCGACCAGGCTGCCAGCCTACTGAACTTGAATGAGACCTCAGCATTTGCTGTGTATGTGCTCGCCTGCCTGTGTGCTTTACTTGTTAGCAAGGAGAGAAACGGTGATTGCACGGCCGAGAGGACAATGTAATTGCTCTGATTTATAAATAATACATCATGCACCCTACCGATAACTCGATTGTCATGTGCAGCAGAAACGCTGCAAACGTCGTAAATAGAATTGGCAAAATGGGTTGCATATGTGTCTCTTTCTCTCTCTACTAATAAGCGCCAGTGAGAATGATGATGATGATGATGATGATGTACTGCCAAGTGAAGAGGAATTGATTCAATATAAACCATGAGAGAGAGAGAGCAAAGAGGAAGATCGGTTTGAAAAATTAAAAGGGAGAAAGAGAAACTGTGCTCTGGAGTTTCAAACAGAGCGAGGCAAATGATGTGTGTGTTTGTGCTCTCCAAACACTGCTGCTTTTGAAGCCGGTGCCGAGGGCGTCAGTGGGAACGATAGAGAAGCCCCACTCTTTTTGGAGACTGATTTAGGCAATTAGGCAAATCTTGTACTCTTGTTCGGTGCTCTGCTTGTCAGCACCGTTAAGCTAAGCTCAGCTGGTGGGGAGCACAACCGAAATGCAATTGCGCTATTGACTGGTACACCTAAAATAGCAGCATGTTCCAGAAACAAGCGACGACCAGCAGCACACTTTCGCGACACACGGTCTGTCTTTCTGCCGTGGCATGTGTGGCTGTGCATGTGAAATTCGCTTAGAGCAGCCATTAATTGTGCCGTCGTGGCACATTAATGAACAGAAAGGGAAAGAGAGGGAGAGAGTTCAGCAAGTCAACTAGACACACACAAAAGGGAAGCTCTACTTGACCAGAACATGTACTGCCTTCGCCCGAATTGCCGCAGACATAAATTGTGTGTGCCCAGCGGTGGCGTTGGTCTTTTCAGTCCTTTTTCCCCCCTCACTTCTACTTCGGAAGTGTGAAGCCTAAATGACGGCTACTACTAGGCCAGCAGCTGCGGCAGAGTTACTACAGTACGACTACGACTGCCAACCTGGCTAGCTGTCACCGCTACTAAATCGGCACACAAACTTTCCACTTAATGAAAGCAAACAAAATATGAACAGGAGAAAGAAGACGACTATGGCGGCGGTGACGAAGAAGAAGAAGAGGAAACAATGGTCAGAAGAGTGCTGTCTCGGACGGCACAAAACCGACGACCGGATAGACACTTTCAGCCGCACTGTCAGCCGCCTTTCACTGAGTGAGAGAGAGAGAGAGAGAGTCAGCGAAAAATGTGGCTGCTGACATCGTGCCACGCGGCTTCCAAAGTGAAATTTGCATGAAAGTAGTGTGCGTGCAAGCAGTGGTGTGCCAACTGAGCAGTCAGTCGGCAGGTAGTGAATAGTGGGACAGAAAGGAGGAAACAGAAGGTGAGTGAATGAACGAAGTTGGTGATGCAATGAATGGCGGCGAGGGGATGCCATGAGGGAATACAGTGCACCGAATGGGAGAGAGAGAGGAGCACAATTACGCACAAAGGTGAGCAGAGACACAGGTAGACACCGACAGACAGACAAACAGACACTACCACGTCCACCGGACAGTGAAAACGGGGGACATAAAAAGGACACCGAAGATGAAAGAGGTGGTGAGCACAGAGAAAAGAAAGATAAACAGATAAAGGAAGGGAGCGAAAGATGAGGAGGCGATAATAAAAAGACAGCAATAGAAGTCTGTCTGTACAGGCGAGCTATCTCTGTTTTGTTGTTTGTGTGCTTTGTCGTCGACCACCACCACCACCAGTCAGTCAGTGTAGGTCAATGACAGTGTTGGCAGTGGAGACATGGAGCTCTGTCATGGCATACTAAAAAAGTGTGCCGCCATCGCACAAACACACGAGGAGGATTGAAAAGAGTTAATAGGAGGAAAGAGAAGCTGCTGATACTGGAACTGACAGTAGTGAACAACAACAAGTGAACAAAGTGGGAGAGAAGTGTGGCCAGCATTAGCTGATATCAAATACTAAAATTAAATGATTTTATCAGGCCTGCATACAAAAACCGCACTGAGAAAAAGCAGGAGTGACAACCATTTATGAGGGACAGTGCTGAATGGAACAGCTATCAACTGCAGGCTCAAACTGCTAAGCAGTAATTGATTGAGGGTAGTAGGAGAGAGAGGGAAAGATAGCTGAGGATGATAAGGGTAGAAGAAGACTAAGAAAAGGCAATGGTACAATTACAATTACATTACGACGGTCAACTGCTGGACCAGATGATTGGCGAGGAGGAGGAAGTGGTGGTCGGGGTGACAGTGCTGCTGCTGCTGACTCTTCTAGTAATCTCTGGCTGCTGGTGCCCGCAAGCATCTGCTGTTCGGAGTGAAGCATTGGGTGCACGGCAGCAGCATTATGCGGATGAATGCAGCAGGCAATCAGCACACAGAATGATGACTGCTGCTGTCCTCCTCAAACTGCTCAGTAGGCACTATTGCCGAAAATGAGAAGAAGAACAGAAGAGACAACCGTAGACAGAGAGGCATACGGAATAAACAAGTGGCAGAGAGAGATGAACGAGATGACAAAAAGGGTAAGGAGAAGAAAAGAAGAAGAAATGGCAGCGCCAAAACTTCTCTGGGGAAAAGAAGCGACGACGACAACGACGAAGAATAGGAAGAAAAAGCTGAAGCAGGCAGTCAGCGATGGTAATGACCGAAATGGAAATGATGATGATTAGCGTGTCGCAGGCGATGAGAAGGCGTGAAAGAGAGGCAGAAAAAAAGGGAAGAGAGAAAACGGGATGACCAAAAAATGAGAGAGAGATGTGTGGAGGGTGTCATTCACAGTAGAACACACAAACAGCCAGCCAGACCGACGACCACCGATGAGCACATCACAATAAACATCGCTGCTCGCATTCACCGAAATTGAATTGAATGTATAGAAAGTAAGAAAGAAAAGGAGAAAGAAAGAAAGAGTCGTTGTCACCGATGATGATGATGGCGATGATTAAAAAGGCAGTGCTCTAAGGAAAAGAAGAAGAAGGCGAAGAGGGTTGTTAACGACGTGTTGTACACCTCTGACGAGAGCACAGTGCCCGCGCCGTCGCCACCACCACACAACTGTCAGACTCTTCTGCTGCTGTCAGACAAAGTGCCGCCGGTGCCGCCGCTGATGATGAGGACCGATCTAGCGAACAGTGCCACTGAGGAAAGTGCCAGTTCAGAGAAGGAGGAAGGAGCAGAGGGGAACATCCGCCCGGTTGGCTGCCCGCATCGAGAATGCTGTGCCACTCGGTGGTGTCCGTCGTCCGAATAGTTGGCACTAATCGTCGGCGACGGCGGTGACGGCGACGGTGTTTGGTGGTGCTCGTGCTCTCCTGCGCCTGGCGACTCCGACTCCGACTTCACACAGAACACTGCACAACTGCACAGACAGGCACTGTCACTCAGTTTCAGTTTCGCTCAGAACAGGTAGCCCAAGACAGGTTTGCTGTAGTGGCTGTGGTGGTGGCCACCACTGTCGCTGATACCGATGCTGATGCTGCTGCTGAATGGGCTGAGATGACTCAGAACAAGTGAACAGTGAGCTAAGCCAATGGAAGTGAGTTTGTTTGTGTGTGTGTGTGCCTGTGGCGCCGGCAGTTCGAGTGCTTTGGAAAAGAAGGGGCAGCCATCGCATCTGTGATGCCTTGTTCTGCAGAGCAATGCACACTGCTGCTGCGGTTGCTGCAATGCCTCGGACAAAAGTTGTAGAGTGGACAAAGGTGCAGGTATGCCCTTTTACAGCTCAATTCAATCAGGCTGTCCGTCCCATTCCCCTTCATCTTCCTCTTCATCCTCCCTCTCTTCTGTTCAGCTGTTGTCTGGCCAGTCACCGAGACAGCAGCAGCAGCAGTAGAGAGGTGCATAGTGCAAGGTGCACTGATGCTTGCTCCATGAACAACACCACCGCCGCCGCCACTACCACTTTCACATTGCTGGCAAAGCAAACACTGCAAAGTTAGCGAGAACTGATGAAAGTTTGAAGAGCAGCAGCAATTCCAGACGCAATTGCGTACACAACAATGACAGCAACAGCAGCAGCATAAACTACCTTCCCAACTACTCTCCGCTGAGATTGAACTGGCCAATTGATGACGGGAGCAGACAAACAGACGACTGAACAAGAGCGAAACAAAGAAGAAGGAACCTGAAGGCAAACAAAAAGAAGAAGAAGATTCATTCGAATGGCACTTTGGTGCAGTCTGCGAGTGAGAGCACCCAATTAGGGGCTGCTGCTGCTCTGGCTTCCAGCCACGACGCCTTGACGGCGCATCATCGACTGCAGTGCCATTGAAATCAAAGGCCACCACCGAGCAGCAGCAAACAATCGCTCAGTGCGGCATCGAGGCATGGAAAAAGTCCTCAGCAGCAGCCGCAGTGTGTGGTCACCTTCACATCTTTGAAGTCATCTTCACTTCTTTTTCCTCCTGCAACTGTTTTCTTCTGCTAATCATGGGCGCCAATTTGTTGTCTGTCTGTCTCTGTGCCAATACATCGCCGCATCATTCTCTCTGTCGCCCATTGTGATTGCATTCACGTCGAGACACCACCATCCGCATCACCGCAGAAAAAGTCTAATCATCATCAAAGAAAGGTTAATTCGATAAACTATGCTTTCCGCCAGCAGCAATAGCAACAGCACCTTGCAACTCTCTTACAACTTCTCCTCCTCCCGCGGTTGATCACACACAGCTGTTTTCTTCCTCCTCCTTCATCAACTGCTACTACTCAACTTCCTCCTAATTGCCTGTCTCATCTCTTTATCACTTGTGTGTCGCTACTACTGCTACTGCCGAAGAAGTGCTAGAGTGGCATACTAATAATAAGCACAGCAAAAACGGTGGAAAATAGCAAAGACACGGCAGTGCATAGCGGGGCACGTAAGCTGAAGTGCCACCGAAGACGACGATGGCCATCACCACCGCCGATGACCAATCGTACGGCACAATTGTACAGCAGACAGAGCGAGAACATCTGCAGCAGCCTCGCTGGGCGCCTCTCCTCTCCTCCTTGGGCACCACCGGTGCCAATCTGCTGCATCGTCGAACACGTCAGCATGTCCGAGCGTCGGCAGTGTGCTGCAGTCGACGGCTGCGGATGATCATGCCTCGTCATCGAACACTACGAAGCATTCGCCATGTGCTAGTCATCGTGTGCATCCCTCTTCTCCTGCTGCTCCTTCTCTCCGTCTATCTAATTGACAGCAGTCTTGGCGGCGGCAGGAAGAGCCTCAGCGAGGAAAGGATGGCCAATGATGGCCAGAACAGTAAGTAGTCACCACCATCACAATCGTCTCTAATTAGCCGTCACTCTGTAGCACAGTAGTACTACACCTAGTACACACAGTAGTCTGCCTACCTTCACCCGCCTATCACAGCAGTCATCACAGCCATGATCATTATTAGTAGCAATTATATTCTATTTGCGCAAAAAACGAGGCGTCCAGAAGGTGGAAGAGTGCCAGGCAGTTTGGACTCTCCACTTCTAGAGCAGCAGCAGTGCACACTTCATTTCACCAAAGAGGTGTGTGTAGTGATGCATGACAGAACAGACTAGTAATTGCAATTAGACATGAAAGGTGAGGAGGCAACACCGTGTGACATTGAAAGGTCTGGGTTAAGGTTGCGTAGGAGGGGAGGGAAGGGAAAGGAATAAGAAAAGAAAAGGGGAGGAAAAAGAGTGCACTTGCCTTTCGGTAAACAACTGTTCGATGTTGGCGGTGGTGGTGCTGTTGTGCAGATGTCGCGATGAAGGAGACTGATGGATGGATGGAAGATGGCAAATGAAATGGGGCGTAATCAGTTCATTAGTGCTTGGCTATGCTTCACTTGACGGTCTCTTCGCTGACGTGTTCTATGCTTGACAGTGACGGCGGTAAAGGGAACAAAATAGAATGGAAACGGTGACGAGGACTTTCGGGTGTATTAGTGGAAAACCATTAGAATGCACTAATTAACAATGCGTGAATGTGTTGAAATATGAGAGCAAAGTGCAGAACGAGACGAGCCGAGAGACAGAGTGAGAAAGGGAGCAAGAGAGAGAGAGAGAGAGAGAGAGAGAGAGAGAGAGAGAGAGAGAGAGAGAAGAGCTCTNACACCGGTGATAATGACCGGCTGCTGCAGCGATATGGGGCAGACAGCGGTGGCCGTCTTGGCTGCCTTCCTTCACCAGTACTGCTGCTGCTGCTGCTGCATGAGATGGAAGATAATTAAAAAGAAGCCTTAGTTAAAACAATAATAATAATAAGATGAAGGGAACAATAAACAAACCAGAATGATGTTGATGTGTTCAATGTGGTGGAATGTGTGCGCGAAGGTGATGTGATGTCAACGGCGAGAGGGCTGCTGCTGCTGACACGCTGTTTAGCCGTTGGCGACCAGTGAATGCCGACGTCAAATGTCGACGTGTGTCGGCCACCGCTGCTGCACACACTGGTTACCAGTAGCGGCGACTAGTGTCTGACTTTGGGTTGTCTGCTGCTGCTATTGACGCGCGGCTGCTTCTGCTGCTGATGTGGCTTCAATTGTCTGGTGCTGGTGGCTGCCTTCTGCTGGTGGTGCTGATGCTGGTAGTCAATGTGAGCCTTTTGTGCTCCGTTCTGTAACCGAGGTGTATGCCTGCACCGACAGACACCAGGGCTTGCACTGCCTGAATGACACTGTGTCGGGCGCCGATACAGTGCTACTAAAAGATGATGCACTGATGTTGAGGTACTGTGTCGTCGATCGTCGTTTGGTAATGATGCAGTTGTTGCGTGAGAAGTGATGCCTGACAAACTAAACGAGAGGAGACGACATTTGGGCGCTAGCTTGCACAGATGCGGCCGCCGCTTCGCCGATGGCGGTGATCACCGATGATGGCGATGATGAGGACAATACATGGCGGCACTTGGTAGAGAGAGGTAGAAAGGTAAACAAAGCCTGCGCCTGGTGGGTGCATTCAAGGCGAACTGCACTCACTCAGCGTTGGTGCGTGTTCTCTTCTTGTGGCGATCTTGTTCATGCTAACTTCAGCCCTTTCTTTTCCTGGGTGATTCGGCGGTGACAAGTGCGTGAACTGCTGCTGGTGACTGAGAAAAAGAAGAAGATTGGAAGATTGTTGGCAATTGGTGATGCGGAGAGGAGGATGCAGTTGTGCGCTGGTTGTTGTTGTTGGAGGCTGAAAACCCGAACATCAACAAGAGCTTGTGCGTGGCGGCTTCAGCGGTGCTCTGAAGCAGTGGTCACTGGTCAGCACCGATGATGATCTGCTGGTGTGTTTGTTGTGTCACTGGGAGTCACTTCGCTCGGAGTAACGGCAGAGAGTGAGAATGGAGTGTCCGAGCAGCCAGCCAGACAGACTGTTTCTGTGGCACACACACAGACACATCTCGGAGGCTTGTCAAACGCAAACACAGCAGACTGTGCAATCGACGCGCATGGCACTCTCTCGCCAACAGCTGCACTGCCAAACGCGTTGATATGATGCCCAAACGGAGAAAGGGAAAGAGAGAGAGAGAGGAGGGGGAACCAAGTGGCGCCAAGTGGCGAACAACTCGTTGGGAGGGGGAGGGGATGCTCAATCTGTGGGTCATTTCTATATGGCATTTTTTCATTATTTTTATTAACTCCCCCAGTTCAACTACTTCACTCGAAGAACGCCGGTCAGAAGGAGTACGTTCTCCACGGGGTGCACTACGTGGTGGGCCACTTCATGGGCAAGGGCTTTCCCTGGGAAAAGACGCCCAATTTGACCAGTGGTAAGTGGCAGTGTCGTTGGGAAGGATGCCCAATAAATTAACAGCCAACCCATTAACTCAGATACACTGAACGCCAACAACTACTCTCCGGTGGGGAAGTACGGCGAGAATGGCGCGCCGGTGTACGTGCCCGACTACGAGCGGTCGAAGGCAAAGGAGCTCTTCTTCGTGAATCGCTTCAATCTGGTCGCCAGTGACATGATCTCCGTGAATCGATCTCTGCCAGATCCTCGCCGGGCCGCCTGTCGACTGAAGCGGTACGACCTGCTGGCGCTNTACTCTCCGGTGGGGAAGTACGGCGAGAATGGCGCGCCGGTGTACGTGCCCGACTACGAGCGGTCGAAGGCAAAGGAGCTCTTCTTCGTGAATCGCTTCAATCTGGTCGCCAGTGACATGATCTCCGTGAATCGATCTCTGCCAGATCCTCGCCGGGCCGCCTGTCGACTGAAGCGGTACGACCTGCTGGCGCTGCCCAACACCTCCGTCGGTGAGTTCAGCTGCTTGCACCGGCTTTGCACTTGCATTAGCATTAACCCTTTTTTTCACTCCATTCAAGTGATAACCTTCCACAATGAAGCCTGGTCAACACTGCGTAAGTGATGAAACACACACTCTATTTCTTTTTCTAAACCCAACCAATTTTCTCAGTGCGAACCGTACACAGCGTCCTGAACCGATCTCCCCTGGGCCTCCTCCACGAGATCCTCCTCGTGGACGACGCCAGCGAGCGCACCTTCCTCGGTCGCCCGCTGGAGGCGTACGCCGATGAGCTGAGCGCCAGCAGCGGCGTGCCCATCCGCATACTGCGTTCCCCCAGCCGAATCGGCCTCATCCAGGGGCGCATCATCGGCGCCCAGGCGGCCACCGGTCAGGTGCTGACCTTCCTCGATTCGCACGTCGAGGCGACCACCGGCTGGCTGGAGCCGCTCCTCCACCGACTCAGTCAGGCGCCGCAGACGGTCGTCTGCCCCGTCATCGACATCATCAACGACCAGACCTTCGCCTACTCGCGCAGCTTCGACTCGCACTGGGGCGCCATGAACTGGGCGCTCTCCTTTCGCTGGTTCTCCGTCGGGGCCCGTGAGCTGAAGCGAATGCGCCTGCGGCACTACGACCAGACGGCGACGTACCGCTGTCCGATCATGGCGGGCGGCCTCTTCGCCATGCAGAGGGAATACTTCTTCCACCTGGGCGCCTACGACTCGGCGCTGCGCATCTGGGGCGGCGAGAACATCGAGATGTCACTGAGGGTATGGCAGTGCGGCGGCCGGGTGGAGATTGCCCCCTGCTCACATGTCGCTCACCTCTTTCGCAGCTCCTCGCCCTACAGCTTCGGCGAGCGGGAGGTGGGCGAGGTGCTCTACATCAACAATGGTAAGCAGACAGTCTAAAGTACTCAAGCTAATCAAACTTCCCTTTTAATTAGCACGAGTAGCCGAGGTGTGGATGGACGAGTACAAGCACCTGTACTACCAGCTGAACCCACCGGCGGCGGCGATCACCCGCCAGAATCGCACTCAGGTGATGGCGAACATCACCGAGCGAACTGAGCTGCGACGGCGACTCAACTGCAAGCCATTCTCCTGGTTCCTCGACACCGTCTGGCCGGAGAGCTTCTGGCCGACGGACAGTCGAAGACTGGTAGCCATTCAATCGGCGGTTGGGGAAGAGGATGGCGATGAAGGTGGCGACTGCCTGCAGCGGTCCTCCGCCCTGGGCTCGCTCAACCCCACCGGGAAGGTGATCACCGGGCAGTGTGCCACCGCCGACCTCCTCTTCAGTCCGCAGCTGTTCACCGTCCCACCGGCGGACACCCCCGGCTACATCATGAGCGACGAGTCGGTCTGTCTGGACGTCAACTCCTCGACGGAGCACTCCGCCGTGCTGCTGATCGCCTGCGCCGAGTTTGACCGACAGCGCTGGCGCTACCAATCGACCAGCAGGCAGCTGCTGCACGTCAGCTCCTCACTGTGCGTCACACTTGACAAGGGTGGCACCTTCCTCTCCCTTCGAAAGTGTCGCCCCGCGGCCAGGCGGCAAAAGTGGAACATTCACGTCAAACAGTGGAAGAAGAAGAATGAAGAAGAGGACTAGAGGTGTGAAGGATTGCTGCCGGTGGCATTCACACTAATTACCGAAATGCGTACTCTCTCTCCTGTGATATAGTGGAACAGCACAGTTCAGGTTTGGCTGCTGCTGCTGTTGTTCTTAATCAGTATTGCAAACAGTAGTGTAGAACATGAGAGTAAAATAAAGGCGGCGGCAGCTTCTCGTGTTGACAGTTCTCTGCTTGTCTGTCTGTGTGTGTGTGTGTTTACCCAGTTGGCACTTGGCGAGGGGAATGAGAATGAGCGTGTGCACCTATCACACACTTATCACCTTCCACCGCCGCCACCACCGCCTCCACCGCTGAAGCCGTGATAGCTGCGAATGTGGCCTTGCATTCGTGGTCGGTTTCGATTGCCGCCACTATTGCCACCACGATTACCTCCACTGGTATTTCCGCTGCCGCTGTTGTCTCCCTCACTTTTCGGCAAAGGATGTGATCGTGGGCCAGGCTTGGGTTCAGGTTTTGCCTGTGACTGCTGCTGGTTGGGTACAGCTGTAGAATGAGAGTTGACCTGGTTTGAGTGTCCCCCGCGTGTTGGATGGCTTCGACGGGGTGGCTGCTGACCACCACCGTGATGATTTGGATGATGATTCGACTGCTGCTGCTGCTGATTATGATGGTGTTGATGCTGCTGCGAATTGGTCGACTGCTGTTGGGACGGATGCTGCCGGGAAGGAGGCCCTTGTGGCCGTTGTGAATGTCGTTGCTGGTTCTGATGCTGCTGACTTTGATGTTGCTGATTTTGATGCTGTTGCGGTTGCTGCTGCTGAGTAGGTGGTGGTTCATTGGTTCGCTTGAAATTACGCTTGTTGAAGAACTGCTTTCTATTGTATCGCTGACTGGCGGCAAACTTGTCTGAAGACTGTCGCTGCTGACCGACCCCAGGAGCGGTGCCGTTCTGTTGCTGCTGATTCCCATCGCCCCCTCCTTCTTCCCCGTCCTCCTCCTCATCGTCCTCAAAGGTCTCATCATTGGCGTCAAAGGAGACGTCTTCGTTCTCGTAGGTGTCATCAAACTCATCATCGTACAGTCCCAGGTACTCATCATTTGTCTGCAGGTCAGACTTGGTCAGCTTGCCACGCTCCATCAGCCTCTTCACATTCTCTTTGGCCGCCTCCTCCTCTTCGCCAATCTTCTGCATCAGCTTCATCGTCACGTCCTTGTTGGCCTCCTTGTGCGCCATCTCCTCGCTGTACTTGTCTTTCTTGCCGATGAATATCTTCGTCGGCACCAGATCCTTCTTTGAAGTCGGGTCGTACTGAGCAATTTTAGCTGGCTGGCTTATTTGAGCCTCCGCCTCTCTTTGCAGGGCAAGCTCTTGAGCACGTAGCAGGTCATTCTTAGTCAGCTCTCGACTAAGTGACTCCAAGTGAGGCGGCAGGTTGTTTTCCAGTATGGCGTCGAGGACTTTCTCATTGTCGAAATCGTAGTGTTCGAGGCACTTGTAGATGAAGCCATCACAAAAGTCGGGGAACATCTCCTTGATCGTCTGCTCCTTGGCGGTGATCTCCTTATCCATGCGAATGGTGTTCACCGGTGGAGAGACGACCACGGATGGAAGCGCTGGCTCTGCAGGTGACTGCTGCAGTTTCTGTTGCTGCTCCGATGGCGACTCCTCCGCCGACTGGTAACTCAGACTTATCAACTTTGAAAAGTCGTCGTTCTTCTTGTTGTTGGTTGTCTGGGCCAGGTGCTCTCCAATGATACTTTTCAGGTTGCTTTGGTAGTACTCAAGAATGACGTCCATTGAAAGTTGCTTATTCAGCTCATGGTTCTCAAGCAATGGCTTAAACTCGCTCTCAAAAGAAAACTTGGTGAAGAAGTCAAAACAAAATCGCTTATTAGACATCACAACGTTTAGCGTGTCGCCCAAAACGTCAAAAATTTTTCCGCTGTTTTCTCTATGATAAAGTAAAAAAATTAGAAAGTTGAAACAAAAACTGAACAAGGAACTTACTTGTTGATTCGTTGAACAAGATCATTCTGAAGAATACGGTGAAATAAAAGCAAAGACGAGGATTGGGTGAGGGACAGTTGAGCATGAAGAAACTTGAATAGACTAAAAATAACGACAAAAAAATTAGTTTATCAAAATAAGAACAGTGAAAGTGAAGGCTTACTTTTCCACAATTTGCCCGCTTTTGTACATGTCGGAAATTTTGCTCTCAATAAACGAAAAGTAGTTTGAGTAGAATGCAATCAGTTCTGCGGCGAGACCACTTTCAAGATAAACTGCCGAGAGATTGGCGTTAAGCAGAACCAACTTGTTGAGCGTAAACATTATGTCGGTTACGTTGGTCACAAAGTTGTACAGTGAAGACAGGAACTCCAGGTTAAAACCACTTTCGAGATAGTTTTTGAATAGATCAGCAATGTCACTGCAAGTCTGTGTGAACTCCTCAGTGAATGACGCGTTTTCGAGCGAAATAAACGGCGTGAGAAGAACACGCAGCACTTCAGAGTTTGAACCGTAACCGTAAAGCTGAACAAGGCTGAACAGTTTTGGAATGTCTAAAATTTGGCGCACAAGCTCAAAATGATATGATTCCAGCATAAAGTTTTTCTAAATAAAAAGAGGTAAAATAGGTTAATAAACTTAAACAAGCATGTCAACAGCTTACCTCCGATTCTTTGGACAAGAGCACTCGAACCCAAACTTTGAAGACCAACTTGTGAATGCTGCTCAGAAGGACCTTCACTTCAATGCTCTTCATCTTTGGGTGAATTCGATAGGACCGAGTGGCGTTGATGAGGTAAGACTCGAGTGAGGCGATCACCTCTCGATTGTACGATATCACAGACCAGAATCTAAAATAGGGCATATTGATCAGCTGATTGAGCATGCCTTCATATTTGCGGCAGTTGATGATCCAATTGTGCAATGACATTGGGCTGAGTTTGTTCAGCTCATCAAACGACGGCTCAAAGTAGGTGACACTGTTCATCTTTATATTGAACTCCTTGCTCTGAAAAGAAAAATTAACTGTTAGCTCCTATTCCAATAACAGTTACTAAGGTATTACAATGAAAGGAATTGACTTTTTGTTGCCATCCTGATCGATGAAGCTGATTGTCTTCTTGTTCAAAGGCTCAAATTGAACTTTCTAAAAATGGATTCAGAAGGTAAGTAAACAGTGTTGAGTGAAGGAGAACCGTACCGCTTCATTGAAGAGAAGAGAGTTACGAACTTTTGGGCGAGCCGAAAGCGATTCTCTGTTTTTGTTCATCATTCTTAATCTATCAGAATTTGAAGTGCTAAGTGTGTGATTGGATGAGAAAGCCGGCACGACAAAAGATAAACCGGAAAAATGCAACTTGGTCGACGTAAGGCTAACGTTTTGGTGAAGTTGTGTTGATGCTTCAGTCAGCATAGGCTGATTTTTTGCCCGCACTGTTACTGTGCTAAGAAAAGCTAACAATTGTGAATGAAAAGAAAAACGCCGTCCCTTGTAATAAAGTGACAGTGCAGAGGAACTACAAGAAAAATCATAACGTTTTTCACAACCGGGAAAAAAGTCAGTTTGAGTCAGCTGTTTCAAACAGTGTAGCTATTTCCNAAAAATGGATTCAGAAGGTAAGTAAACAGTGTTGAGTGAAGGAGAACCGTACCGCTTCATTGAAGAGAAGAGAGTTACGAACTTTTGGGCGAGCCGAAAGCGATTCTCTGTTTTTGTTCATCATTCTTAATCTATCAGAATTTGAAGTGCTAAGTGTGTGATTGGATGAGAAAGCCGGCACGACAAAAGATAAACCGGAAAAATGCAACTTGGTCGACGTAAGGCTAACGTTTTGGTGAAGTTGTGTTGATGCTTCAGTCAGCATAGGCTGATTTTTTGCCCGCACTGTTACTGTGCTAAGAAAAGCTAACAATTGTGAATGAAAAGAAAAACGCCGTCCCTTGTAATAAAGTGACAGTGCAGAGGAACTACAAGAAAAATCATAACGTTTTTCACAACCGGGAAAAAAGTCAGTTTGAGTCAGCTGTTTCAAACAGTGTAGCTATTTCCACAAAAATGTATTTTTTTTGTACAAACCCGTTTTGAAAATTGTCCCAAACATCTGATTCAAACTCGTCAGCTTTAATAAATACTTTGTACAAAAAAACTATTTCACAAATTATTCCAACTTTTGTCGCTTCCGCTTTCCACCCTGTGACGCCTTCTCTTTTGCCCAGAAGCCCTTCACCTCTTGTTCCTTTTCGATGCGAATTTCCGCATCTTTGATGGCGATGGCCACCTGCTTGATGATGGAAGTCACTCCCTTCTCGTCCACCGGCTGTTCCTCCATCTTGATGCCAATGTACGATTCAATGGATTTGAAAAGCTCAATATCATACTGCGTGACTATGGTAATGGCCTTTCCTAGGTAGACTTGCTTCGGTTGTTGAGTTGCCGTTTCCAGCTTGGCTGGTTTAGGCCGCAATGCGTTGGGATTCTTTTCTCGATAGCGCCTAATTTTCTTCGACAAAGTGTCCTCGTCATCTTCCTCATCTGCAGACTCATCATCTCCAGGGCGCTTGTGATGGCGTGACTCCTCCAAACGAAAATCCGGTTTGCGGCAGGTTCGACCGACTCGGTGAACGTAAATGACGGCCGACTTTGGACAGTTAAAGTTGATGACCAGGTCGACTGTGGGCAGATCAAGACCTCTGTTCGCCAGATCAGTGGTGACGAGAATCTTTGAGCGAAGAGAGGCGAATGTGTCAATGGCGGCAAATCT